AAGATCAATCTTGTCCTATCCTTCGCTTGAATCAAATTTATATAATGGGTCGAACTGAGGACAAACTTAAAAGGATTTACTATGGGCCTGAAGGCTATTGGAGAGGAGCGTCAGCTATCAAGAAACTCGCGACCGCGGCCAGGGTATCAGAAGAAACGGCTAAGAACTGGTTAAAAATACAAACCCTCTGGCAGGTTTATCTTCCCGTGCCCAAGTACATTCCCAGGCCCAGCTTCACCGTAAGTGTCCCCAATGAAGTTCATCAGGCGGATTTGCTTTTCTTGCCGCACGACAAGGTGAGAAGAAAGACCTATAGATACGCTTTGACCGTAGTTGATATCGCAAGCAGGTATAAGGACGCCGAACCCATAACCAGCAAGGATTCTGGGGAAGTCGCAGAAGTCCTAGGTAGGATTTATAAGCGCGTCTTGAAATGGCCTAAGCTGCTGCAAGTGGATGCGGGGACGGAGTTCATGGGCGTGGTTACCAAGACCCTGAAAGACCACGACACTAAGATTAGGAGAGCCGAAGCCGAGTACCACAGGGGTCAGAGCATCGTCGAAAGATTTAATAAGACCCTGCCCGAGCGTCTCTTTGGGTACCAGTATTGGAAAGAGCTGGAAGATCCCTCCAAACGCAACAGGGAATGGACHCAGAGGCTCCCCCAGGTCGTCGCGGCTTTGAACAACGAGGCGGCCAGGGCTACAGGAATGAAACCCAAGGATGCCATAAAAAAGAAACACGTGGAACACAAGTCCTACGTCAGAAGCTCAAGGGCGGTCTTCCCCCAGGAAAAGAGATTAGGCCATGTCACGGTTCGATATCTCTATGAGCCGGAATGAATTAGAAGGAGGATCCAAAAGAGCTACGGATCCTAATTGGTCTTTGGAAACTTACCAGATCCAAAGCGCGATGGCTAAGAAGGGTCAGGCTAATCGTATGGATGCCATCATCACACATCCATCTCTTACCATCAAATGCTGACAGTGACACCTTCTCCTGCGTAACGTTGTGTATTTGATGTTTAAAGGACCGCAGGGAGTTCATTTGGTGCTTCTGAGACTTTTGAGTTTGAAGCACATCCACGTACGATTGGTGAGTCAAGTCTTTCTTCACCACGTACTTTTTTACACCTTTGGCTTTCTTATCTGCGCCGTCTGTCTTTAGTACGCTGTACATCTTCGGTTTTAACCCGACGTACTCCACGATTGGCTTGCCTAGCATTTCATCCTTCATCTTCCCGATAACCTTCTTGTTCTTCGCAGAGTAAAGTGGGTGATCCCTCGGGTAACCAGACGTGTCGTATTCGTCAATGTCCTCCAAGCAGTCCGCGTAAACGTCGGGTGTCTCTATCTCCATTATCAGAGAGTCGGTGTCCGTGTATAGCAGGTGACAGCGGTCTCCGTACTTTGGCTTTAGCTTGTCATAGTAGAACTCATACATCAGCAGTTTTGACAGCTCCAGGACGGTAAATCCGGTGTATACAGGCTTGTTTAAGAAAAGGTTTGCCTTCTTCATATGAATTACAAAGAAGTTCAACATATCTACATAGCGGACAAACCCTGGTTGCGACACATACGCCTCTGCTTCTTCGCGAGTGTTAGCAATCTTTATGGAAACACGCTTGCGAATGTTCTCCATGGTCTTTCCGAAAACACTATTATTCATCAGCTTGAATAAATTCTTCTCGAAATCGTTCTTTGCTGCTGTGCGCTTTTCCGTGTTGAAATCTATGTAAGGTTGCATCCACGGCTCTTGACGAAACTTCAAAGCGCGGTGTACCTTTGTCACACGCATTCCGTGGCGCACATAGAATTGCAGGTTGCGATAGTGAACAACGTAATTTTTCTTGTTCATCAAGTTCATCGTTAATTTACGGTACGGCTTGTAGTTGGGGCATAGACGCTTTTGTAGTGGTGATAGCTGTTCGAAAGGTATTTCGATTGCTTCCGGGGCAAGTGGGTAGTCGTTGTGAAGGTGRTGTAGTTCTGGCGGGTACTCCAAATCCACCTCCAGGATGAAGCCTTTGCGGCTGTCAGGTCTTATCCGCATGTAGTACTCTGACTCGCGTGGTTCTGTCCACTCAAAGTCGCGCACGGGTAGGTGCTGGGACATTGCCCACCCATAGAGGTTGTTAGCATCCAGGTAAAAGATGTAGGTGTTTGGCTTTTCAGGATCGTACCCCTCCACCTGGGGATTGTTCGCTCTGGCGTAACGCCTGCTGGGTCCGCAGACTCCACCACGGATACCGTCTTCCATAAAGCGGTACATTTCATAATCGGTTAGGAGGTCCAGCCGTGCGTCTGTCTTCTTTCGCAGCGCACTCCAGGAAAGCCCAGGAGCCGTGTAGAAGTTCGCTGGATCCAACCCGTAGTAAGACATAGCCATCTTTCGAAAGCTTTGAAAGACGTCTGCTAGTAGKACGACGTCTGACAACAGGTAAACGTCGTRGTAATCTCCCATGTTCTTACATTCGTGGCGCTTCCAAACCTCCTTTGCGTGCTCGTACTCAGCGTCAGATATTCCCGCTTCATTTAGGGTGCTGTAGAAGCATTCTTGGGGAGGCAGCTGCTTTTCCTCGAAGCGCTCCTTAGCGGATACTTAGACGTTCTGAATGGATTTTGATTCACTGGATACAACGCTGATCGCAGTGCCCATTGAAAACACCTGTTATCTTTGTTACGCACACTGATAATTGCCTTCTTACGCTCTATGAAAGTTGGCAGTGGCACGTAAGAACCACCACGAATCGGCACGTAACGGGCAATGCTAATCGTAGCGCCTTTGATAGCTGTTACAGTCCATCCAGATCCTTCTCTGGTGTACTTGGCAAGCGATTCCGAGATTGGTTCGATTTGCGAGGACACCCTTTGATCCAAATCCGTCGACTCTAAGACTGTTAGCGTTTTGGTGCGCAACCAAACTGTTGTTTCCGTTTCATCTTTCATCAAGTCAACCTCCACCACGATGGATACTTTTGCAGCTCCTAACTCTTCTATACCTCTCTCTATCAATCGCTGTATGCGTCTCGCGTTCGTATCCCAATACCTCCGCAAATCTATCGCAGAACTACCAGCGATGGCGTAAGTTTCGAAATTGTATTGCGAGTCCATTGTCTATATATAAGGAATATTTTTTGGAAGGCAACATGGAGAATASCCGTAGGATYATTCTTGACCCCATGAATGCCCGCTTTTTGAGACCCCTGTAATCCCCGAGGACCATTTTTTGGTGCCGTAGCTTTTACTGCGTTTTTGGAATTTCATTACTACGCGAATTTGATTAACTCAGGAAATCATGGGGTTAGGTCGGGTGAATCAGGACTGGTATGCCCTATACTACTGCTCTGAAACACTCATAAAAGACCACTGTCTTCTCAAAATATCACTAAACTGTTCGTGACCTCGATGAATGTTCCCAGTAATAAATAAGTTTGCATTTGGCACAATAAACCTACAAAAACAATTACTACCGAAATCACTCAACTGTTAGCACCGCCAAAAAAAAACCATCGATCGCATTTTGAATTTCGGTTAACCCATGTGACCATTTGGAGCGCTCCAAGTGGTCACGTGACATTAGTTTCCCGCTAGATTTCAGTATGGAGTGCTATCAGATAAAAGTTTACTATGGGGATAACTTTCAAAAATGTGGGACATTTTTTACTCGCCTGCCGGTTTAACTTACTTAGACTTGTTATCCAGAGTTAAAGAAGTTACCTAATCATTCAATCACATAAGTTGCGACCAGATTCGGATTAGATATCTCGATGACGAGGGCTGTTATGTCAACTTCGAAGAAAACCTTATGAGCGAACTCTTCAGGTGTGCCCAGGATGTTCATGGGGCAAACTGGAAGAGAATTAATCTACAAGCAGAAGTCTGGCATTCACCCGCGCCCTTTAAGAGAAAAGACGAAGAAAACCAAAATCTGCCTGAGCCGAAGAAATTAGCGAAACGACAGCTTGCTAATACCACTACTTCCAACAGTAATTTACAAAGCGAGCTTTATAGATCTCCTGTTGAAAATCTTATTCGTTCCAAGAAAGAAAACATCAAAAAACAAGAAGATGGAATTGCAGCGAAACATCAGGAAATTTCAGCACTTGAAGAATCCTACTCATTCAAGCCATTAGATAATATGAGACTCGCTTGTACGAAATGTCACCTCTGAGCTGGTCATACACGCGCAAATTGCGTTAGCGAAGCTTGTCCTTCGTCGCATCTGTGTGGCGATTTGAAACGCCTTCCAGAAAAAAAACGACAAAATTAGGGACTTGAATACGGAACTTCAATTGCTCAAGTCAAAACTCAAAAGATCTAAAAGTGAACTAGAAAGCTTACAGGAAGGCCTTCAGTCCAGCAAGCGTACATTTTCCCAGCGGATACTTACACAGTTAATTAACAGCAACAAGGATAAGTACATTTCATATGTCAAGGGCCGAGAAATAATGAACTGGATGGCGATCAACACAGATTCCAAAAAGATCGAGAAGATTTGCAATGGTGTTGTTCCAGGGCCAAACGAGAATCTTCAAGAACTAATTCAGCAGCATGATAAGCAAGAGAAGCTCGGGTTATGTGTATCTAATAGTTCTACTAACAGATCAAGTATGGTTAAAGATTTATGGGCCAAGAAAGGAGTGACTTTTCCGGGAACTGGCCCTATATGTCCTTCAGCCCCACCTGTGGATTATGCCATTCCTGTACCTCAAACACCAGAAGAGGAGGACTACCAAATAAACTTAGCAATGCCTGAAAGCGAGAGAGAAAGTTCTTATCATTCATCTTTTATGCGCGCCGCAACACCGCCAATTCATTATTCGCACACTGCTACTAGTACGATTAGCACGCCCAGCAATGCAGATAATAAAGATTCATCTGAAGATTCTTTGAGTCTTTTAGCAGCAGCAGCTTCATTGCTGACCAATAATCATTGTACCCTTTACCCTGCAGACGAAGGAAATAACAAGTAAACCTGATTTTCACTTCATACAAGGGTAGTACATTTGCGTTCCAGTTTTATTAGTGAAATGTTACAATTATATTATTACAAATTAGAACTGTAAATCAATCCCTGTAGCGAGTTACAAGATATTGAATAACTAAAAGTTTACATGTAGTTTCAGTATTGAAAGTGAATTGAAATAAAATCTTGAAGTTTGATGCACGAGTTATTTAAAATAGCTAGGATTTGCGCGTTCATGTAATCAAACCCTAGCGTTGGATTTTAAGCAAAAAATAAAATACATGTGGAATAGGTTAGTTTCTGGGTTTTAAAAATCGTATAATAAAAGTTATCAGTAAATAATAAAGGCAAAACTAGCAATATCGGTGAAGTGATTGAAGTCCTGAAATGTACATGCAACAACAAGTGCCCTCGCTTGCCTTGACATCTTGTCAATCTGATTACAAAGAAGTATTTTATTTTAACTGGAAATCATTTTTCAATTGAATATTTGCTACTATTAAGCAATGTTTTTTGTCTTGCTTTTATTTGTTTGTTTTTATGCTTATGAGAGCTACTGGTATTTACTAGTAAAACTTAAATATAAGCAAAACAATGCTAGAGTCAGAGTACTCCTGGTTAGAGTACTTTTTGTTTACAAACGAGTAAGTGCTTGCATCGATTTCATGGGCTAAACTATTAATGCCCAACTCTTCAGAAGTACTGAGTCCAATCCCGCTGATTAAATTCTTCTGAGGTATTCAACTTTGTTATAAAAGCCACGTAAATCGTTGGGAGTCACATCCTGAAGAGCACGGTAAATAGCTACATCCATGTTAAATTTCAGAAGATCGCGATACTCGTACCTGTGTAGCACAGTTTTGAGTTCGTTAAAAACAAGCTCGACAGGATTGAGCTCCGATGAATACACTGGGAGGTATATTAATGTCATTCCAAAGCTGTCCAACCATTCAGTTAAGATTTCTCCTCCGTCGAAGCGATGGAATGCTACATTGTCAACCACAATGATGTATCCGTATTCCAGAATTGAATTACCGTCGGGCTGTGTGAATTGACTTGCCTCGTAGAAGAAATTCAAGAACTCCACAGTATTGCTTGCTTCACGAAGAGTGTTGGCGTACATTATTCCCTTCCGACCACACAATAAGTTTAAAGTAACATTTGGCGTTTGGGAATTGCGCATCACTTCAACACAAGGTGTACCAATTACAGAATGCCCATACTTGGGGTTCGCACAATCTGGCAATTCGAAGCCTGCTTCGTCAAAAAATTTCACACGATACGGATCTTCTGTACTCATGAAATTTATGTAACTTTGGCAATGAGCAATATTATCAGGTGAGAATTTTTCGGCGGCTGGTCTAATCACCTTTTTCCAAGACATTTTGCCCTCGGGTAGGTGTTCTCTAGCTGCTCTTCCTATCGTTGAAATCGAGACTTCTGCTGTTGGGTGAGCATCCACGTTTTCTTTTATTTCTTTGTATGTAATGGACGGCCTAGACTTTATCATTAATGGAATCAGATCTAGATCTGGTTCCTCAAGCTTTTTGGGATGACCTCTGACTGGATGGAGAGGGAAGAGTTCTCCTRTACGACAAAAGGTCTGCCAGATTTTTGAGACTGCAACTCCACTAATCTTGTATCTCGAGCCTATTGTTCGGAAACTTCCAGCAAAATATTCCGTCGATACGTCTCCGCCTTGGCGTAGAATTTCGTCAATGATCAAAGACTTTAAATCGCTTCCAAATGTCTTCCCTTGGTTAAATGTTCTACCATAAACATTCATTTCTGCTCATAACTTCTGTATAGCTTGCAAAAACCGATTCTATTGTCAAGTGACCACTTGGAGCGATCCAAATGGTCACGTGGGTTAACCGAAATTCAAAATGCGATCGATCGTTCTTTTGGCGGTGCTAACAGTTGAGTGATTTCGGTAGTATAAGCTAGCCTATATTTTGCTTGCTTTGAAAATTGACAGTGAAGCCTAAGCGATCAAGCTGAATGCTGCTGACCTTGCGCATTGTTGGCCCCAAAATTCATTAGTGAGTGACAACACAGGTACCCCAAGCTCGTTATTTGTATAAGAGAATGTATGGAAATATTCCTGGATCTTTAAGGTGAAGCTGTCTGGTGATGGAACTGTCCTGTCAAAAACTTCAAGTCTATTTGTCCTTTCCTGTACATGAACCTCTTGTGTTTTAGTTGGCCAATAAAAGTTGTTTTAACTCTAAATACAAATTCAGAGTTTGGAAACACAAGGACGCGGCTCACGTTCTCACACTTGATTTCAAAACTCTTCAAAAATGAATATCTCGTATAGTTGTATAGTTGTAGTTCACCAATTCAAAGAGCAGGGTTTTTGAAAACTGTTCCTTGTTGTTTGATCGCAGTTAAAACATAGAGTAAGTAGTGAACTTGCAAAAAAAGAAATTTCTAAAATCTAGAGTACAAAAGATCGAATAAAGAGCACAGCATTTTATTTGGAGTATTTGAATGTTTTTTCAATTTTTGAGTCAGAATCCAAAGACAATGAATACGAATTAGGCAATTGCTAATTACTGTGGAGTAGTCCAAGTTTTTCATGATTTCCTGGCCATAAACCAATTTTTTGTTTCACTCATTACTGAATTTAGAAGTATACGAGATATAACCCCCTTGAAAGGGACACACTTCTATGGAAAATTCTCAAGTTATTGTCTTTCAAAAGTTGAATAACTAGCCGTCCCATATTAAAAGTCTCCAAAAATTACTTGAAATTAACTATCGATTACCAATACGTAAAAAATTGTAAAAGTTGGAGGCAAATAAGCCAGTGGTACTTACATGATTTTGGCCATTTTCTTTGTAAATTCAGTCTTGATATTTGAACTTCGAGTGCAACTGAGCGGATCAGAGGCGTTGCTAATTAATTCAGGGCTTTCAAATGACCGGCAATTCTGCATGATGCACAATTGGTAAGATGCTGGGATCTAAACAAGGTAGCACTTTATAGCTTTTCTTTATTAAATTATCAGGGATACCTTTTCCGTCAGCCACCATGAAAATCAAACCAAACTGTCAGATCGTAATCGTCGAAAGGTATGTGTCGCTGGTCAAAACTCCAGGAATGTTTACTTGTTTGATAGTTCTAATTCTCTGATTTTGGTTTTCAAACTGTTTTTATTATCTATTTTCAAAAGGTTTTAAAATATGCCATTGCCTCCATGTCTTCACCGAAAGAAGTTGAGTTGCCAGTGAGAGAGGCAGTCGCACAACAACAAGGATTTTAATCTAATACAACATTTGATGGCTAGTTGTAGGGAAAAGTATTATTTATTACTCGGGCTTTCGAAGAAAAAAGCCCGAGTCATAAATTACCCTCTGTTTTTTTTCTTTTTTTGGTCGCCAAAATGGGGTCATGGTCCRGGCGTTCCTAGCCCAGTCTTGGAAAACTGGGTTCGAGAAATGCAAAGGTATCGTGTTCATCAGACTATTCGCTTGTCGAAGAACGGAATTATATATTGAATGCTGTGTTTTGTGAAGGAAGTTTTGGAAAGAATTATGCCCTTTACGCTCATTTCACATACAGACGCAAACACCCGTCGTGGTAGACCCACACTAAAAGACGTCGAGCGCTTTCGAAATGGGTCAGTCCGCGAAGACTTTAGCTTGAAATTTAGCCAAACTAGCAAAGCTCTTACTAGTTCTCACGAGATAGCAAATGAGCCATTCATGGGTCAAAATTACGACAACACTGACAAATTTATGACTACTGACTTATCAACAAAATATTATGGTGATGTGAACGTCTCACACGTCGAACAAACCAAKAATCTTCATGAGCAGAACTTCGAACCTTTGAACAACAATATGAAGATCGCCATATTGGATGAAGACAAAGAAACTCAACAAACTAATTTGAATAGTAAATACACGAGCTTAACAATTTTGTTCACTGTTCTGATTCTTTCGCTGCTTAATTGTATTATTTTGTTTCATACCTGTAAGGAAATATTTTATATATTTGTGTATATAAGCTATAGCATTAGTGCTTTTATAGCGATCATGATTTCTGGTCTTTACTGTGTATGGTGTCGCACGTGCTTTGCAGAAGCCATGAAGGTAAATATGCTTGAAGAATGTGACATTTTAGAAAATGTGTTCGAATTTTCTAATGTACATCAATATAATGATATTTTTGTGTCAATAAACGTACATGAATTTCGATCTCGTTTTGCAAAATATGTATATTATAGTCATTCTGCTCGTGTTGTTTGTAAATGCCATAGATCTAGACGCGATCGCGAACCAAGCAGACTACGTGTGAATGTTTTGAAACGACTATCTTGAAAAAGCAAAAAAATAAAGCGTTATGCTTGGAGGCGTTTGAAAAAAAACATCCCAGAGTCATCCAAGGTTTACAGCTATGTTATAATTTCTGGAGCACGAARAAAAAGCAAGCAGAAAACAAATATCAGGTTGGTACAGAAAATGAGAAGAAGCCCAATTAATAGAACAAAAATAAATAAAACTTTTGTAGGACATGGTTACAATTCTAGTAAAAATAAAGATAGAAAGAAATATATCAAATACTTTAGGCTGTTTTCGTCTAATTTCCCATATGGCGAGTACAAAAGTGTTACTCATAARGGTAGTTGTACAAAATACAAGCTTTGTAATGATATTGAGAAAAATCCTGGTCCAGGTATTCATGTTAATCCAAGCAATACTATACAAGCACCATACAGCCAAGGGGATGTTGTTGTATTTGGACAGAATGCAGGGCAACAATGTGTGGCAATGAGTTTATGTGCTTTAATATACCACAATATGAAAGGAATAAACAGCCCTGATGACTTAATACAAATCCTGCATATTGGGGATCAATTATATAGCAGTTTGTCACATCTAGCAAGACAATCATTCTTACTGCTCACAGAATTACCAACAATGCTTACASTATTAGAGAAAAACTACCACCTAGAATACAGCGAAAGMTACACTGGTACTGTACATGGTGAACCTAGCATTGAGGATTATCAATACTGTGTGGGCGTGAAAAGAGCTTTTGAGTCATTGATATCAGAACAGTATAATTCTTTTATTTTAACAGTTAACTGTATTGGAGTTGGTATTATTTACTGTGCTGATAGTGGCCATTTTAAAGTGTTTGACTCTCATGGTAGAGATGTTTATGGAAAGAGTCATCCTCAAGGGACATGTGTTCTGTTAGATGTATTGTCTATAGACAACTTGGTCCAATATTTTCAAAKCTTGTATGGTATAAATGATCAGTATGAACTAAAAGGTTTACAGATTACAGTATGCAAAGTAGTAACAAGCACCAAAGTTGAAAACCTGTCATGTGCAAGTACATCATCAGATCAAAACAAGTGTACTTTAAACCAGTGCTTTGTAATAGCTCTTTATTCTATGTGTTACTCAATCATTTCACCTTCCAGTTACTGGATGTCAAATACTTTAGATGCAATCATACAATATGGATCACAGMTTTACACTACATTCAGTAATGAGCATTGTTTAACTCCTGGTAAAGTACCAGACAGTGTTACAATTTTTGGTAAGAAGATAAAAGTAGACAAAAATKAAGTGAGTCATGGAAAATTAACTAATTTAGCTGAAAGCAGGATAACTCTAGAGACATTAATATTGAAAAAAATAAATGAAAAAACAGGATTTTTAATGTGGATTTCAAGTTACTGCATAGCTTGTTTTTATCAAAACAATACTAAAGTACAGCAAATGTTTTCTCTTTTTACATATCATGAAGGCAATTCACCTGCAATAAAAAACAAAAAATATCAGTGGTGTAAATAAACTTGTGGAGGCAATTATTAATGTAATTATCCAAAATCAACACAAGTGTGAGACTATAGAGTATGACATGCTGTTTATTCGCTGTTCTGGCGAAATGACTGAATATGAAAGAAAAAGTATTATGAGAAAACACAGAAAAAAACATGCATATGAAACCATGGAACCTGCTGTCAAAAAAAGATATTTAACAATGGATGCTACAAAAAAAAAAGAACTACTTAACAAAAGCAAAGAAAAGTACCAATCTATGGAAGCTACAAAAAAGAGACATCTACTTGACAAATCCAAAGAAAACTACCAATTCATGGATAGTACAAAAAAGAAAGAACTGCTTAAGAGACGGAAAGAAAAATACCAGTCTATGGATACTACAAAAAAGGAAAAGCTACTTGGTAGCCTTAGAGAAAAAAATCAATCTATGGAAGTAGAAGTTAGGCAAGATCTTCTTAAGAAAAGAAAAGAAAGAATGAAAGATAAACAAGCAAGCATTGACTCCTGCATCAATCAGTTTAAGAAAAAAATAAGACAGGGCCCATATTTTATATGTACTGTCTGTAATAGAATACTTTACAAGAAATCAGTAACAAGGTGTGTAAATTACAATCTGTACCCTTGCCAAACATGTTTCAGTATTCAACAATCATTTGATGGTAAAGAATACATATGCAAGACTTGTCATTCAAAAATCATAAAAGGAAAATTACCTTGTCAGGCCATAGTAAACAACATGTATGTGGATGAAATACCCACACAACTAGCTTCACTAGAGAAACTAGAACAAATAGTAATAGCTCAACGAATAGTATTTGAGAAGATTATCATCATGCCCAAAGGACAACAGAGAAAAATTAAAGGAGCTATATGTAATGTACCTGTGGAATGTGATCAGACATGTAATCAACTTCCTCGTCCACCTGAGAGATCTGGTATAATAATGCTAAAACTTAAGAGAAAGTTACAGTTTAGAGGACATGTTTACTTTCAAGCAGTGAGACCAGAGTTAATACAACAAGTTCTTATTTGGCTCAAGATACATAATCCATTGTACAAAAATATAATAGTTGATATGAACAATATACCTAGCAGTCTCACTGCTTTACAAGGATATGATACACATCATAATGGTGAAGAACAACAACCTATATTGAGAAATGCAACAACAGATACAGATACTGATCCTGCAGTAGAACATGATGCAACAGATGATGCACTGAATAGTGACAATGAAGAAAGTGATGACCCATTAAATGAATACAGGGCTCCAGTACATGAAAYATGCTTACAATCACTTATCCCAAACTATCCTATTACTACAGATGACACTGACCAGTCAACAGGAAATGAGGTCTATAGCATAGCACCTGGAGAAAACAAGCATCCTCTCTCATTTATGCTTGATAAACAATGTGAAGAACTAGCATTTCCAGTATTGTTTCCTAAGGGCAGATATGGGTACACAGCAGAACGACAAGTTCCAGTTTCACCAGTGAAATACTTTAATGCCAGACTTTTGCATTATAGTGGAAGGTTTGCAACAAACCCAGAATACCTGTTTTTTGCACAGTTTATAATTGAGCAAAAAAAAGTATCAGATAGCATTAATGTTGCTTTAATAAAGGTTCATGGACAACCACTCACAGCCTCTCAACTAAGAACTAACCCCCAGAGCTTAGCAAACYTTATTTGCCAAGATCAAGCATATTTATTTCYGAGGCAAATACCAGGAACACCACCTTACTGGCAGAAATTTATGTATGAAGTAATTGCAATGGTCAAGCAACTTGGTATTCCAACATGGTTTATGACATTATCTTGTGCTGATCTAAGATGGCCTGAACTGTTTCAAATATTAGCAAAAATACAAGGTAACAATCTTACTGATGAACAAGTTGATGCACTCTCTTATAATGAGAGATGTCAAATGCTTAACCTTAATCCTGTTGTAGTTGCAAAACACTTTCAATATAGAGTTGAAACATTCTTTACTCAAGTGTTACTGACAAATGCTAAACCAATTGGTAAAATAGTGTACTATGCTCTTCGTATTGAATTTCAGATGCGAGGGAGTCCCCATTTACATGCTCTCATATGGTGTGATGATTGCCCCAAGCTTACCAATGACAACAAACAAGAATACATTGACTACATAGATAAACATGTACAGGCTTACTTGCCAAGTAAAGAAGAAGATCCTCAACTACATGAACTAGTGAAAATGTATCAGAAGCACAGCCATTCTAAAACCTGCAGAAAATATAAAAACATTCAATGTAGATTTAACTTTGGTCAATTTTTTACAAATTCAACAATTCTAGCAGAACCTCTTYCTGATGATATTGATGAAGACATTAAAATGAACATCTTGGAAAAACAAAAAGAAATTTTTTCTTTAGTAAAACAGCAAATAGATGAAGTGTTAAATCCAAATAATTCTAGGTATGATTCTTCACTTACTTAACAAGATATTTTTAACTCTGTTGGCATCACAAAAGAACAATATTACTCTGTACTAGCTATTTCACCAGATTCTAACTATAAACTACATTTAAAAAGACCTATTGACAGYTGTTTTATTAACAACTACTTCATTGCTGGTATAATGGGATTTCAAGCCAATGTGGACTTACAACCTGTTTTTGATCATTACAAGTGTATAACATATATATGCTCATATTTCACAAAAGATGAAACTGAGTGTTCCCAAGCAATAATGAATGCAGCCAAAGAAGCYAAAGCTGCTAACATGAACATTAGAGATGGCTTGAGAAACATAGGTGCTGCATTTCTATCAACAAGAGAGGTTAGCTCACAAGAATGTGTATACAGATGTATGCCTGAACTCTGGCTAAGGAAAATTTTCCCTGCAACAGTGTTTGTCAATACTGAGTTAGCAGACAAGCGGGTTCGAGTCACAAAGACAAAACAAGAACTTGAAGATCTAGAAGATGAGAGTACAGATATATTCAAATCCAACATAATTGAACGCTACAGTATTCGA